TCTCGCGCATGCGCAGTGGGCACCCGGCTGTCACAGAAGCCGGCCCGGGAAGAAGGAAGGAAGGACAACTCCGCGGAAGTGGGAGCGGGTACCTGTCAAATTCAGGTACCCGCTCCCCCTCCCTCCCCAAAGGTCAGCAGTCTCTGGTCATCCCCTGCACTGTCTGCAGTCTCTGGTCATCCCCTGCACTGTCTGCAGTCTCTGGTCATTCCCTGTACTGTCTGCAGTCTCTGGTCATTCCCTGCACTGTCTGCAGTCTCTGGTCATCCCCTGTACTGTCTGCAGTCTCTGGTCATCCCCTGTACTGTCCGCAGTCTCTGGTCATTCCCTGCACTGTCTGCAGTCTCTGGTCATTCCCTGTACTGTCCGCAGTCTCTGGTCATTCCCTGTACTGTCCGCAGTCTCTGGTCATTCCCTGCACTGTCTGCAGTCTCTGGTCATCCCCTGTACTGTGTCTGCAGTCCATTGGTTCAGAATATTTTTTTTTTTCTTGTTTTTCCCCTCTAAAACCTAGGTGCGTCTTATGGTCAGGTGCGTCTTATGGAGCGAAAAATACGGTAATTCCTGATCATAAATCCATCCCACCCACATGATCAAGGATGGTGGACTTCAGGGAAACTGTCCTAAAGCTTCCTGGGATGTGTGAAGTGTATAAAAGAAGGCTGAGGGCTAAGTCTTCCTTCTCTTAGGCGATAAATTGGAAGTGGGCACTACAAAAATGTACTTTCTTTAAAAATAAATGAACACCTGCGATTGTTTAGCAGGTTAGAGGGAGTACACGAATGATGCTACATTTGATTTTTTGGTGAAGGTCTGCTTTTACCCTGCTACATTCAGCCATCCAGCTTAACAATTGTTGTGTTAAAGGATAAGACCTATTTCACGGAAAGGGTCCAATGAGGTCCGCCTGTCAGTTTTTTAGGCAGACCAGATTGGACCTGCCGTTAACCCCTGAGCCATCAAGTGTAAACAGACTTGTGTCAATTTACACCTGCCTACCTCCAATACGATCTGCTTAAAAAAACAACCAAAAAAAAAAAAAACCAGAAGAGGATCCGCCCCCTCCGTCTAGGCGGACCAGATTGGAGGGAAGTCGGGTGTATGTGGAGAGCGGAGTCTGCACCCGGCTGTCCACTGAGCAGAGCAAACTTAGTCTGTGTCCGCTCTGCATAAACTGAGCGCACATATACCTGTCGTTTGCCTGCTCTGCTCAGTAGAGGTTCAGTGGACAGATCATCTGCTAATTATAATAGAGTTTGCCCCGTGGGAAAGGGGCCTAAGTTCATTTTTAAATAACATGGTACACCCCCCAGCCCCATTGTGACAGCAGGTGGTGACCTTATCCTTGCATTCTCTGTCACAATTTTAATACAGCGCAGCTGTGCATAGCTCTGTGAATGAATGAACTACAAGTACCATCTGCCACTGCAGCAAACGGCTTGAGCACCCTTATAATTGATCGATTCTTCCTGCACTTCAGTAGCTGTGTCTGTATGAGAGGTACAGGCAGACAGCTATGAGAGTCTGCAGGAGGCCCAACATTGCACCAGTATTCTGCTGATTGTGGGTGCAATACTTTACAGGGTAAGTGTAAAAAAAATAATAAATGCACATTTTTTATTTTACTTGCAAAATGATGTGCATTTATTTACTTTTACAAAAAGCTGAACTTATCCTTTAAGCTAGCAGCCACACAGTGAAAGATGCGTTTTCAACAAACTGGCTGACAAAGGCTTAGGGCTGTGAAAAGCAACTGAAAAGCACAACCACTGTGTAGCACTGGAGAGCAGGGCCTATATACATATAATGGGCAAAGTAAAGTTTGTTTTACATTTTTTAGTGCAATTTTTTTTAGTACAATACAACATCATCAGGGATTCTTAATGGAAGGCACACTTGAGAATAGGGCCATTTTCGATTATCCACAGGAGACTCAGCAGGGATCCATGTGCTTGGGTGTGGAGGGAAGTCCCGTTTAAAGGCCAGTTCACACCACAGAAACGCAGTCTGGATGCGTTCCAAATGAGTTTGTGCATACTTGTTTTTAATGACTTCTGGTGCACTTCCCCCCTTTTTTTCTTTTCCTTGAATAAGGACATGTGTGTTCTGGTACATTTTTTATGTGTTTTACAGTACAGTTCAGTGCAAAAAAAAGTTCTACTTTTATTTTGCTGGAACTGGAACGCACTGCAACTGACCACATTGGTGTGAACTATGCCATTGGAAACCATAAAACCAACCGTCCTTGCTTTTTTGATGCAGAAAAAAATGCACTGGACTGCAATGGAAGCGTGAGAGCACCTGTAGCTATTCGCAGCCATTGGGCTAGAATTTTTCATGCAGCACCTGTGGATGATCATCCATGGAATCCCAATCACAAGGATCTCCGCTGAGTCTCCCACAGGTAATTGAAAATGGCTCAATTTGCAAGTATGAATGGGTCATAGGGCCAGTTCACACTACATGCGTTTCAGTGTGCTTTTTTCTGCATCCAAAATGCACAGAAAGTAGGTTATATGGTTGTCAATGTCATAGTTCACATCAATGCTTGCAGTTCCAGTTGCAGAAAAAACAGTAGAACAGGCTGCATTTTTCCTGCACAGAACTGTACTGGAACGTGGTAAAACGTATAAAAAATGCACCATAACGCACCAAAAAGGCACTGGAACGCACATGTCCCTATGTCAATTGACGAAAAAAAGGGGGGGAAAAATGAACCGGAAACGCATCAAAAACACCAGAATGCTCCAAAAACGCGCAAGCAGAAACACATCCGGAATGCATCTGGAACTGCGCTTCTATAGTGTGAACCGGCCCATAAAGCAAAAGGCAATGTACCAAACACATTACTATACAGCAAACATTTAGATGTCACATGTCACTTATATGACCAACTTGTGCATGGTTATTCTTTTACATACACTGCCTTACTGAATAAACCAAATAGTTAAAGTAGAACTAAAAAGGCAAAACATTTTTTTTAAGTTTTGAATAGAGTGGAGAGTTTGAACACGTGTCAGGTTTCTATTGTTGTGTGTGCCTCCCTGTTAGGGAAAGTCACCCTCTGTTTACCATTATCATTGAAAGTGAAAGTAAAAGAAAAAAATTCAAAAATGTGGGCTGTCCCCAGAAAAGCAAAAAATCTTCCAATGGGGACACTAGTTCTGGTGCCCTGGGAGTCTCCAAAGGATTTCCTCAATTTGCAGGGGTTTCCTCTCATTTCCTGTTTTGACTATGGGACAGGAAGTGAAGGTAAATCTCCACAATGGGACACAGATAGCAAAAAAAAAAAAAAAAAAAACTGACAGAGGTTTTAACCCTCCCTTACTCTAACCAAAATGAAAAAATGTTTTGCCTATAGTTCTACTTTGAATCACAGATGAAATGTCCCTTAAAGCAGACATAAAAACTCATAACTCATGCGGCAGTCAGTAATTTCACAATGCTTCATCTTTGTTTTCCTTCTAAAGCAGCCATAGAGCCATCAGAAGTCTGTGCCCAATAGTAAACGTCAAGTAAAGACCACTCTGGTCTGTGGGAATGAAAGGTCCAAAACGCCCTCAACCTTAGAGCTGTAGTTATGCTTGCACTCCCTGCTCAGGAACATTGCTGAATGCAAACCTGTAAATCTAAGGTGGGGGAAGTGTCAGACCACAGTAACAAGATCCACAATGCCATTACAGTGGCATAGGCTTTTCTGCTGGTGAGTACACTTTGGATTTCACCTTGAGTTTCTTACTCTAGGCCAGAATGACATCCTTAGTTCTGCAGCCTCCTGGACAAGTCCCAAGAGGCTGCAGGACCAGGCACACAGAATGGCCGAACACTGGGTCAGGCATGTCAGCAGCTGGCTGTTTGAGCCCAAAAGAGGCAGCCAGCCAAAGACTCAGACTGTCGCCTGAACAGCGGACTGCAGAGGGACAATGCTGGATTCACTATGCAGGTAAGTATGTGTTATAAAGATAACCCAGCAATACATGTAAGAGAGGGGAAAAAAACATGCGGGGGTTTAATTCTGCTTTAACTACCGACTTGATTGTTTTCCCCCATCATTTTTACAACAGTTTTTTTTGCATAGCATTGGAATTCAGCTATTTGACTTGAGTTTAACCTGGAAACAGGAAGTTACCTTTGGAGCCAATTAAAAATCATTCAAATCTGCTGAGTGATAGGAATAATGCTGAAAAGCAGAGATGATGTAGAAGTAAGGTCAAAACACAAAAAAATGACACAAACAAACAAATAAATATCACCACAAAGAAGGGATAGATTTTAGTTCCAGTGGTTGTAAAGGCTCAAGGTTTTTTAATCTTTGTGCATTCTATGCATGAAGGTAAGAAACCTTCTGTTTTCAAGCAGTCTTCCCAGCCCTCCATAATACTAACCTGAGCCCCATCGTGATCCAGCAATGTGCATGAGAGCCTTGGCTGTCTTTCCTCATTGGCTGAGACAGAAGCAGGAGCTATTGGTCCGTTGCTGTCAATCACAGCCAGTGAGGAGCTACAAGGGTGCAGGGCTGAGCCGCGGCTCTGTGTGTGGATGGACAAACAGAGCAGCAGCTCAGGAGCAAGCCTGGTTGGGTGGCCATATGGCAAGCTGCTTGCTATGGGGGCACTAGGCAAGAGGCTGGGGCCCCGAAAAGAGGATAGGGGCTGCTCTGTGCAAAACCACTGAACAAAACAGGTAAGTCTAACATGTTTGTTATTTTAAAACAAAAAAACATTTTTTTACATCGCTTTAAGTAAAAGCAAAGGCCTAAAAATGTACCACAAAAGTCAGCCACCTGCTAGTACCAATATAGTATATTTCAATGTACGTTTAGTATATAAATGCTAAAAGAAGTAACATACAAGAGCAGTAGAGTGATAAACCTAAAATAACATTTCATAAAGTAAGTTTTAAGGGTTTGAGGCAGTAAATAAACAAATGTAGTAATACATGCAGTAAAAATTATTGAAAAAAAAAAAAACAAAACAAAAAAAAACCCTCCACAGATTTACCTGGACCAAGTAGTGGGGATCGATTCTGCTGGGCACTTGACTGATGAGGTGGCTGAGGTTCAACCAAACTGGCATTTGAGGGAGTAATTGGGGTGGTGTTGTTGTTAGCTGAGGGAATAGTTGGAACTACTGTGCTGTTCCTATCCCACATGTTTACAGTTTTACTGTTGTAATTGCTTGGGTCTCCCCAAGCTGAGGTACCATCATCAATTTCCATTTTTCGGCGAATGGACGGTGGTGAAGGTTCTTCCCAACCACTGGGTTCAGAGTTTATGTCCTTCTGTTTAGCTGGTGGTGGTGGTGGTGGTGGTGGTGGTGGGGCTGGCGCTTGTCCTCCACTCCACCCCGATCCACTCTGCTTTACAGTTGCAGCTCCTCCCCAACCACTCACATCCTGGGGTTTGCTGGCCCAGTTCTGCTGAGGAGATTTCAAAGGTTCCCCCCAACCTGTACCCGAATTAGCCTTGGTGCTTGTGCCATTGCCCCACCCACTGGTCCCAGACCGTGTATTTTCATTCCACCCTGTTGCAGATTTGCCATCCGTGTCCCACCCTGTTCCATTTTTCTTTCCATCAGTAATATGTGCTGGAACAGGTGGCATATCATTCCAGTCTCCACCACCTGCTGTCCAGCCAGTATTAGGTTTCTGCCCATCTACCCAGCCTTGGGGTTTGGATTTATGAGACTCGTTCCATGTAGGAGATTTCTCCTCCTGATTAGCAGACCCGCTCCAAGCGTGACCACTTTTGGCAGCAGCATTGACAACAGTAGAGCTTGCAGGATCTCCCCATCCCCCTGGACCATTTGGCGCTTTGTTTTCCACCCAGCCTGCATTAACAGAAGCAGATAAAGGTTGGGAGTTGACCCATCCTGATACTGTAGAGGTATTTGTACTGTTCATCATGGACCCTTCACTCTTCCCCCCTGAGTTTGAAGGCTGCGCATTTGTACATCCCCAAGCTTCTGTCCCAATATTTTTTCTTTCAGGCCTCTGAAATTCATCAAATTCCCATGCTATATTTTGTTTAACTGGAACCTGTCCCCAACCTGTGTTGGAGAGGACCCTTGGATCAAGGTCTTGTCTTGGCAATTGCATCTGCCCCTGATCTGCCATTCCTTTGTCCCCACGCTGACCTTCTCCCCCTCTTCCTTCATTTGGATTTCCAGCATTGTCACTACCTCTGTCATTAGATGCAGATTTGGCCCTAGAATTCATTTGATCACCTCCTTGCTGTGGAGAATTCTGAATGGTAATACTAGAACTGTCCCACCCTGTTGACCCTTTTCCACTGATGTCATTACTGGAATGCTGGTTTTGAGACTTTCCCCATTCACCATTCATGCTGTTGTTTGTGCCACGACTTGGCTGACCCCAAGGTCCAGAATGCATATTTCCACCATTGCTTCTACCCCTACCCCAAGCTAAGACTCCTGGACTGGTAGGTGGTCCTGAATCCCAGGCATTCACTACAGTTCCATCTTTTTGCCCTCCATTTTGTTTAGCACTTACAGCTGTACTAGAATTATCTCCAGTTTCCTGACTGAACCCAGAACTGCTGTTTCCAGGAGCAGGGCCACCAGGTGATAAACCCCACACTGAACTGCCCGTGCTGTCACCAACCCCACTGACTTGAGAAACTGAACCATTAGCACCAGGAAGGCTTTGTAGGTGGGGTGGGATGATGCTCCCCATTCCAACAGCCATTCCCCAGTTGGGCAGTCCATTTGCCTGCATTGCATTAATGGGGTTTGGTGAAGAATTCATGGGGTTAGTGTTATTTGGTCCATCAGTGTTAAGGTTCTGAGGTTGTATGCTGAAAGACACATTCTGAGAAGTGGACGTTTGTGGTTCTGTGCTCTCTTGTGACTGCAAATTTCTCCAAGCACCTAAGGTACCTGCAGCATTTCCATTCTGGTTGCCGATATTCTGGCCTATGGCACTGACTGGACTACAGATGTTGGAAGGATTACCTCCATTCAAAGTTCCTTCATGTCCAAGGACAGGCCAGGCAGCTGGGTTGGCATTAGGGTTAAGATTAATGCCAGCATTTGAGTTGGAAGCACCCCAGCAGTTCTGACTCCTACTCTCTCCAATTATACTGTCCACCTTTCCATCACCACTACTGGAGGAGCAGTGAGCAGTGCCAGAGTTGGAGCCTGAAGGTGCACCCCAAACTCTGGATAAGTTTCCATTCCCATTTGCTCCACCAGCTCCAAGGGCACTCTGGTTAGAAGTGCTTTGGACGAGTGCTCCATTGGTGCCATTATTGCCATTCGATTTCTTTGTATGTCCAGTGAAGGTGCCTTGGGCACTCGTTGTAGCCATGCTACTTTTCTCTGAGCCACAGTTGGAGGCGGAATCAGTGTCTGTAGTACATTCTGAGGCAGATTCAGTCTCAGTTCCTGTAATGGAAGGCCACGCTTCCTTGTCAGTCCTGTCTATTATCACTTTATCCCAGCTATAACTGGTTTCACCTCTGATAGTAGGCTGCGGCCCCCAATAGGAATTTTCATAATGGTCGCTGAGACCACTAAAACCGAGATCTAAAAGTGGGGAAGAAGAAAAATATTTATGTTAATATACTTGCATAGAACAGAAACATAACTAAGGGAAAATACAAATGTACTGACTTCTTTGGCCATATCAACATGTATCAAATACAATCTCTAAAGTAATGATTTATATCAGTATATGTTCATTTGTGTTCTCCAAGTTCCTTAATGGACAGTATCTCAGGATGCTACAGAAGTGTTTACAACAGTTTTTACAGTAAATACAATAGATTGCAATATTTAACGCAAAAATATATTGGCCAAAAAATCATAAGGAGTTTGTTTCACGAAATGGCACTTGATCATCAATCTCTTTGTCTAGAATACAAATGTGATAAAACTCATAAATGTGTCAAAACAATCAAAACTTTCACATAAACCTACACAAATCCACAAAATAAAGCTAAAAATGAATGAAGTATCATTACCAGGCAGCTCACACTTCTATGGGAAAAGAGCAGACAAGCAAATGAAGTGGCATAAATATAAACGCATCACTTACATGTAGTCTAGTCAAGGGGTCATGCATAAGCACTCTTATAAAAACAAGAACTCAAATACAAACTCCAAAGGTAATCAAGGATACCAGCATGCCCAACTCCACTCTCCCTGTGATGCTTTTAGTTGTACTATGTACATGACAGAGATGAGCAGACATGCAGTTTGGAAGTGTTATTTCCTTCAGCATATGTTAGCAGATTAGGTAAATTTACACGCGTTGAGTTTACATGCAGAAAAGTGCACACAAACAGAACAAGTCCACATTGTGCTTACACTGCCAAAAGTATTTACCGTTTGCAATTATTGACACGAGAACACAAAAATCTATGTCACAGCTTATCTTAAATCTCTACATTTAAATGGATCTATACAATTAGCTGTGTATACATCATATAACTCTGAAAATATGTTTGATTTACAAATGCTCACACCAACCATCAGATTTCATTGCAAATTCTATATTTGCTGACACACAAAAGTGATGAAAAGCACATAATTCTTTAAACTCTACAAGTTAAAAAGCACATATTCAAGCCCCTGCAAATACGTCTCCTAACAGTTGTTTTCAGTTTGTGCTCATAAAAAAGCTGCTACAAGTTTAACAGCATACTATAGGCAAAAGTCTAACTTTCTATTGAATTAAATGTATTTTTTGTAAAATCAATGTATCCTGTACAGTCTAAATACCATCATAAATGATTTTAGATTGTGAGCTCTAACGAGCAGGGCCCTCAATCCTCCTGTATTAATTTGTATTGTAATTGTACTGTCTGCACTTATTTTGTAAAGCGCTGCGTAAACTGTTGGCGCTATATAAATCCTGTATAATAATAATGATAATAACACAAGTAAGAACATTTTGTTGCCGGAACCGTGCGGTAAAACAGTAAAGCTTTAACAAAAAAAATATTAAAAAAGTAAGTTTCTTAAGTGACGTCTGCAACAACTTCGAAGGCCACTATAAAGGTAATACAAAGGGGGTGGGGAGCGGAGGAAAAAGGATCAAAATGTGATGTTTTCAGAAATTCTCTCTCCACACTCTCACATGACTTCAAATAAAAAAACAGAAGTATGTGGATAAAGGGTTTAGTTACGCTGAAGTTTTGATCACAAAGTAAGGGAAATTAAAGTAGTGTTCAGCAGTCAGTTTTGAGATTAAGAAAAAAAATAATCTAACCGGCAGACTGTAGCCCATGTGATTTGCATGGGAAACATCATAACAAGCTCACTAAGTCCCAAGCCCCTGCAGAGAACAATCTTTTGGTTTTATTTCTAGTTTTCCCTGTGCCGGAGAGGAGAGGAGATCAGGCTGCGAGGACGCCATTTTCTAAAGCCTGAACTGGAGCCAAAAAAGCTCTGAATGCACTGCCCGAGAGACATTATGTAATATGAAGATTTAAAGCAAAGCTAAAGCGATTTGCTAACAATATTTTTTGGCCTCAGGAGAAAGGAAGGGAGGAGAGTTGGGAAGGGCTGACAGGGAGTAAAATACCTGAGAAAAGGTGACGCCCAACCATCCTAGGAAACGCTACATTGTGTGCAGAGCTGCCTCTCTCTGCATCTAGGCTTTCAGCTTCAGAATGTTGTTTGTGCAAAGCGTACGTCTCATCCTGTAGCTCTGCCAAGAAAACCTCTATGCAAGACGGTGACCGGACAACCTGCAAGCTCATTTGGGCCTTTTGCTGCACTGGATTTGGAAATGCCCTTACAGCACAGGGAGGATCCCCCCTCTCTCCCCCCTTGCTCTCTCTTCGACAGTCCCTCCTCCCCCCCCCCAGATTGGGTGAAGGTATCAACAGCCTCAGACTCTTTAGGCTTTGATTATGTAATTGCATCTGACACTAAACCGATCTTCCTTCCTTTTAAATTCTTTCAACTGTCACAAAACATTCTCACTTGAAGACCCTGTTACAATTAACTCCAGAGCTTCTTTTATTCCCCGTTTTGAAAGTCAGCCAAAACAACAGGGGCGCACTGACGATCAGCTCCATGCGAACGTTGTTTCTTGCTCGGCTTCATCTCCCCCTCTACAGTCCCCAATTCCCCCCCTTCTTCATATGCTTCCTTTCACAAACAGCCCCAGAGTCAGACATACCAACCTTAGCTTTAACATTCAGAACAAGGCCCACATGTATACGCACACTGGCTGTCCGCCAACCACTTAATTACTTCCCATCCTCCATCTCAGAACCATACACAAGAACATTAATCAAAGCCAGGGTTGTTTATACATGTGCAGAAGAGAATACAAAAAAAACAATACAACAGAGATTAGGCAGCTGGAAGTACAACTGCATCTGACTGCAATGTGTTACAAACTATTGTAAAAAATAATAAAAAAAATATAAGCTACTTTAAAATATAAATAGTACATTCACGACTCCATATAGTAGTAACCTGACAACAGAAAAGAATAAAACAAAAGAATAAATAAAATAACACAAAAAAAGAAATTAAAATAAATCCTATAGTACTTTGTCATATAAAAATATAATAAATATATATATTCATTATTTTAAAATTTGTGAATAATATTAAAAAAATAAAATAGAAAAAAAATGTGAATCCTCCTTTGCCATGTAAGTATACCATACATACTTATTTCCAGTTTTTGATAAAAATATCTCATCACTTTAAAATTTTACTTACTGCAAACATTCTTACATTCTCCATAAAAAAAAAAAAAAAAAACACAAAAACACATTTATCTGTGGAAGTTTTATTTCTTCAGGTCACTGTATAGCGAACAGTCAGTCACATTCAACTGGACTTGTTTTGTTATGTCAAAGACATTTGATCGCTTATCCAAACCAGCTCTTCAGTTTTATATTTATATCCACACTGGTCACACCAACACCTTAACCACTTGTCTACGAATTACGTAATGTCCGGTGACAAAGCTGTCATTCCTTGGAGACCCCCAATGTCTCCATAAAGAGTACCTGCCACCTGATCATGCTGTCATATAGACCAGTGGTTCTCAACCTTCCTAATGCTGTGACCCTTTAATACAGTTCCTCATGTTGTGGTGACCCCCAACCATAAAATTATTTACCCAGTAATTATAATTCATGAGTGTCGTTTTACCTCCAATACTGCTGCTTTCAACACAGTAGCTGCTTTTAACAGAGTAGCTGCTTTCAACACAGCAGCTGCTTTCTACACAGTAGCTGCTCTTTACATCGGAAACATGTGTTTTCTGATGGTCTTAGGGGACCCCTGTGAAAGGGTCGTCGACCCAAAGGGGTCGCGACCCACAGGTTGAGAACCACTGTTATAGAGGGTTTGTTAGCCCACTTGTGATCGCAATAAAGTAGAAAATAATTAAGTGTACACAATTGTACAAAATAAAAATTATAAAGCACCCCCCATAAAAAAGCACATCTATGTATATAATAATTGCGCCACACACGTGAGGAATTGCAAACAATGGAACAACAACAATAATTCTAGGGTCATAGCTCACGGTTAACCCAAAACTGATGACCCGTAAAGACTTGAAAAGCATGGGGGTATCACAATTGTTTGCAATTCCATGGGTGTGAGCAATTTTAAGACTTGACATGTTTGTTATCGATTTGCTTTATACAACCCCATCTTTTATATTTTACAAAAAAATTGGATATAATATTTTGTTTGTTTGCACTAAAATTCATGTATGTATGTATGTATGTATTTGTTTGATAAATAACTGCACAAATGTCATGCAATATAAAAAAATGGCAACCACCCCCCCATTTTATTTTCCAGGTTCTACGCTTTCAGAAAATATATATTTTGGGGGGCTTACAGTAATTTCTAGCTAAAAAAGATTTTAACGTGTGCAAAAAATAAACAAATTGCCCTGATAGACAAGTGGTTAATCCAACACCATGTAAAAGAAAACAGGAGTTGTGAAAGTTGTGCAATCTCCCTGTTGCAGTTATACAACCTCATTCTTGGTGGCAGAAGTCTACATAGGTGTCAAACCTTTAACTTACATGGCTGATTATGTGAATTGTTGTCAAAACACTGGAGTAGAGATTGTAAAAGGATTGTAGTGGTGATGGAATTAAGGTGCCTGTGCTATCTGTCTGAATATATGTGCTGGGGTACCTTTTTGACACTTGTCAGAATTGAAGAACTAGCTCAGAGAGGCTACAAAACATGTTCACATTCAACTGGTCGTGTTCTGTACTGTTTGAAGAACGAATGCTAGCTATACATATTTTAGTTTCTAAGGCTAGAAACAGTGGAAGAATCTGCTTCTGCCCACTCCACCACATGCTTGTCTGCATCATAAGCTGGGTACACATGGGCAGAAAACGGGCCGAAAACAGGCAAAATACAGTTGGTTCAGCAGGAACCTGACTTTCGGCCTCTATGTACAGCTGTCTGTCTTAAAACGGACTTCTATCAAACGGGCATGCTGGAAAACCATCCAGGATAGAGCTGCACAGCTACATACCAGGTTAAAAAAAGCCAAAGGAGCTGAATGCAACTTTATCAAA